CTACGCACATGTTAACGTCATGCTAAGCACATGGGAGCGTGTTGGGGAAACTGCTGGGCTGGCCAGGCCGGCATCTTTGCTCTTTTCAGCATTATTGTCATGGATGGTACCGTGAGCATGCCGGAGATGTTAGGACATGCTAATGACATGTTAGAACATGCCAAGCACACACTAAGCACACGGTGCGTAGGAAGGTCTGTTTGGGGAGAGCTGTGCTGGCAGCTTTGCTTTTTTCAGCATTATTGCCATCGTGGGTGGCGATGAGCATGCTGGGATACCTGAAGACATACTAAGCACATGCTAAGGGCATGCTAGGACACACTAAGGTCACACCAGGCACCCACAGGGGTATGGGGAGGCCCCTGGGGCCACATGTTGGGGGGTTGCACTAACAGCTTTGTGCAGTGCAGCATCCTTGCAATGATGAGTCTATTGGGACATGCTAAGAACATGTTAGTGACATGCTAGGACATGCTAAGCATATATGGGGTTGTAGAAAGGTCTTTGTGGGGTTGTACTGACAGGTTCGTGGCTGTGTTGCCGTTGTGGATAGCATGGTAAGTGTGGGCACATGCTTAGCACACGCTTAGCACATGCAGTGGTGCAGGATGAGCTTTGGTGCTGCGTTTGGGGAAGGGGCTGTGTGGGGGCTGTTCCCCCCTCGGGGTCCCTCCATCTTCACTGGGGCAGGGGGACACGCTGTCACACATGCCCCACACATGCTAAGCACACATGTGTCCCCGCAGATCTTCTGTGTGCACGGAGGCCTCTCGCCCTCCATCCAGACGCTGGACCAGATCCGCACCATCGACCGCAAGCAGGAGGTGCCCCACGACGGCCCCATGTGCGACCTCCTCTGGTCTGACCCCGAGGGTAGGTCCCGCACATGCGTGTCAGCCTGTGTTGGTCCATGTCCCGCCCTGCCCACCAGGGCGGAGTAGGGGTGAGGCCAGCCGCCACCGTGTCGCGTCCTGTGTCATGCCTCTGATGCCATCGGGGTGGCCCTGTCACCTGGGGTGATAGGTGTGACAGGCATGTACATTGCATGTTGTCATGTAGAGGTTGCCGGGCTGAGTCATGTGGCTCTGGGTGACACGTGTGACACCATTGGGGTGCTCCACGGGACATGTGTGGACATGTGTATCTTGGTCATGTGTCCCCTGCAGCCACCCTGCGCTGATCCACGTGGTTCTGTGTGATGCACATGTGACGTCACTGCCACGCTGGGTTGTTCTATGTGATGTGTGTGGACCCATGTAACGTGTGTGTCATGTATCCCCACGTACAGCCCCCACCCTGGCTCATGTGGCGCAGTGTGACACACATGACACCCACACACACCGCCCAGCCCCACATGGGAATGCCCGCCCTATCCATGTGTGTCCTCTCCCCTGTGACACGCATGTGGCATGTCGGCAGACACGACGGGCTGGGGCGTGTCCCCGCGGGGGGCCGGGTACCTGTTCGGCAGCGACGTGGTGGCCCAGTTCAACGCATCCAATGACATCGACATGATCTGCCGGGCCCACCAGCTCGTCATGGAGGGCTACAAGTGGCACTTCAACGAGACCGTCCTCACCGTCTGGTCCGCCCCCAACTACTGCTACAGGTCAGCCACATGCCAAGCACACGCTAAGAACATGCTAAGGGGATGTGTGGCCGGGGGGGCGGGGAGGGCATGGTGGAGGGCTGTTGGTGGCACTGGAATAGGACCTTTCTCCTCATCTGGTTGGTCTGAAGTTGATGGTGGGGGTCTTGACATGCTAAGTACATGTTAAGAACATGCGGGAGGGGGTGGGGTGGGGGGATGCTCATGGGTGCCAAGTGATGCCTGAAGGGGACCGTGCTTGTCATTGGGTTGGCCCCTGAGTGCTGCAACAGGTGAGTCCCAACACGCTAAGAACATGCTAAGCACACGCTGAGATGTGTTGCGATGTATGGTAGCGTGACATGGCGGGGGGGGGCAGG